TGGCCTGCTCTGCTTACACAGGCGAACGGATGAGGTTCCCTGTGTCCCACCATCTGACAGCCACGGCTTTCTGCTGTATGACCAGAGCCACCTACGTCTGCACATTTACACCCTTCTCTTCTCATGTGACTGGCCCTTACAGAGGCTCCAGAACAGAATTCCTTAATCCACTCTGATCCCATCTCGTCAGTTTCCCTTTACCCTACTTGTTTTAGTCATTAGCCTGTAATTCAACTTCAGCACTAATTAAAGTAATTGCTAGGTTGTCGTGGTACATTTGACTTGGGCGGCTCCTGAAAGTCTACATTTAAGGTGCCATTCACAGTCCTTGCTAATTAGCAATAATTGTTTAACGTCTTGTTTTTAACTGTCATTTTGATGTTTGTAGGTTACTGCTTTGATTTAGCAGTGTTTCTTTAGCATAATGCCTAATTGAGCAAATGAGTCATTCTGTAAAACAAATTAAACCAGTCAATAATATGATCGATTTAGATCCACTTGGTGAACTTACACAACTTGAGAGAATCAATTTGTATTAATCACCTTACAATTGACTCATATAAACTATAGTCTATAAACTGAATATAACAAAATTAAGGAACTATTTTGTTGCATTCGCATATATTGCCTGCACAGTCATTGGCTTAAACCAGAGTACATCTAAACCTCTTCACTCAGCCATGGCCAATTAAGAGATTATATAAGAGAAAACTGATAATGCATATGTGTGCGACCCATCCATATAAAGGGATGTTTCTTCAGTACAAGATTTTCAGTTTTCACTTCTGCTTTTGTCTTCTGTGGCATTGCAGCTGATTTTTGGAAGCATGTGAATGCGGTTTTAATCTCGAATTGGTTTATCTCTTGTCTTTTGTGTAGGCATTTACTCAATCTCCAACAGCATTGTCATGTTTAATCATTTGCGTACCGCCCAAATGTGTTGGTGTGCTGCAGTGAGCAAGTTTCATCAGCCTAGAGATACCCACACACACACACACACTATTCATTCTCTCTGCCCTTTCCTCGGCAGACCATCCACGCTGAGCTGTCGAAGCTTGTGAAGAAACACTCTGAGGAGAAAGGAGCCGAACAGGCCATGTATAAAAAGATGCTGGGCAACCCGTCAAACGCCAGTGTGCAGAAGCACCGTGCCAAGTCCTCGTGGGTGAGGGAATGAACTGCCCCTATTTAACACTATGCACTGTTTGTTTATTTTGTTATCATGTCGCTTACTCTCAACAGGAAGTGGAGTTTACAAATGACAAAGTGCATGTTTGTGCCTTAAAGGGATCAAATCTGTCGTTATTTTATCACCCTCATGTTGTTCCAAATTTGTACATGGCTATTCTTAAAGGAGTAGTTCACTTTAAAAAAAACTTTTGCTGATAATTTACTCACCTCCATGTCATCCAAGATGTCCACGTCTTTATTTCTTCAGTTGAAAAGAAATTAAGGTTTTTGAAGAAAACGTTCCAGGATTTTCTCCATATAATGGACTTCAATGGGAACCAAACGGTTCAAGGTCCAAATGAGAGTTTCACTGCAGCTTCAAAGGGCTTTAAACGACACCAGACGATGAATAAGGGTCTTATGTAGCGAAATGATCGGTCATTTCAAAAATAAATATAATTTAAGTTTTATAAGCACAAACGGTCGCCTTGCTCTGTTCTGTGATGCGCGTTCTTGACTCTCCTGTTCATCAAAATGAACAAATCTTTTTTTTTTTTGAGTCATTTGGTTCATTCAACGAAAAAAAAAAATGTAATAAATATTTCTTTTAATCAAGTATTTATCTTTTTACAGAGTCTCAGCTGGAAGTGGCTTTTCGGGGCTACCGCCGTCGCGATTGGAGGTGTAGCTTTGTCGGTTGTCATCGCAGCTAGAAATTAACCGAAATTTACTGTGACACGATGGATGACGTGGTGCTCAAGACTTTGAGCATGTCAAGCCCTCAAAACACCTTACTGACCTTTTATAAAATAGAATTGAAAGTGAACTGGTTGTAATTTCTGTCCTCCATCGAGCTTTAGAGATTTTAAATGGTGTTCACTTTTTACTTTCAATGCATGAAAGATCAGCTGGGAAGAAATAGATATGAGAAATATTATATTATTCCTATTTATGTACAGAAAAGATCCTAGTTATAATAAATAAATGTATTGATGTACAGAATGATGCTCTACAGGTTGTTGGACGCAGTTGTGTTTTGCTTTAGAACTCAGACTACAATTTTTTTTTTTTGTGAAGGTCCGTAAGCTTATTTTGGTGAACTGAAACTTGCCTGTGAACAGTCTTGAGCATTCAAGAAAATGATTGTATGCCTTTTCCTTTGCAGTACCTACAGATATCTTTAGCTTCTGATGCAAAAGAAAGACAACTCTATTTTAAAAGTCTTTGCACTGATGTGGTACGTTTTCACACTTCTTTCCCATTTATAGGCTCCAAAATTTCCTAGAAGTAAAATCAACTGTCTGATTCAATAATGTTTCCATATGTTCGTGACCAAACACTGCAAGGAAGGTCACACTGACCTTTTTGGTTTATGTTTTTCAGCTTCTACAAGAATTCTGTGCATTTAATTTGAATTATTTATTTAGGATGAACCAATGTGTGTTGTCATTTTTTTTTCATTGATCCTTATGTTGATTGTCTCAGTTCCCATTCCAATTTTTTTTGTATTGGTAACTTCCAGCATTCCCCTTAAAGTTTTGTAAATCCCAAAATACTTTTGCACTCTGTGTTCATATGGTTGAAAATAAAGTGATTTCTGCGAAATGTTTCTATGAATTTCTATGAAAAGGTAACAAAAATGAGGTGTTAATATAATAACAATTCAATGGTTCTTTGCCCGCGCTGTATTATTAACTACTATAATATAAATTTGTGAAGTATGAATTCCCTGTGAACGTTAATAATGAAAAATGAACGTGCGTTCTGATGAAATGGAGACTGTATTTAAAGTGCATAACATCATCCCTTTCGACGTTGTAGTCATGTGGGGCATTCCCTATAGATACAGTCGGCAACGCGTCATAGTTGGGGGGCGTGGTCGGCGTGGGGGAAAGCAGCGCGACCATCCTATGTATTTGAATGACAAAAATGTCATATTGCGAGTCATTTATGCCTGCCGACCGGCAACGATACATTGCAAATTTAACTGTAATAGGTTATGATTGCCCTTATTTAATTAAAAACTGGGCCAATGACCCAACCAAATGGCCGGAGGTGTCGTTTCCAGACTATTATATCTGGTTGAATCTTCAGGTAAGACATCGCGGAAGCTACCGGCAACACAAGCCTGTAACTCAATCAACTTGCGTATAAGTTACTATAAGTCCATAAAACCATGTCACTTACCAATTGTACGTATGCTTCACTCCAAACTATTAATCCTTTTGTAAAACGGTGATCAAAGTAGTCGCTACGAAGTTGCAGAGGGACTTTGCTGACAGTTATCCGAATTCTCACAGACTGCAGTCTGATAACCTTCAGCTGATAACGCTAATAACATCCCTTATGAAAAACAACTAAAGGAATCTTGTAGTATTTTAGGACAAACTATTATAGTAACGTTAATCCTATAGGAATACTATAGTATTTTGGGACATAGCCTAGAAGTATAGGTATTAATGAACATCACAGAAGTATTATACACTACTATAGAATACTAATAGCCATAGGATTACTATAGTTCTTTTTCGTAAGGGACGTAACGTCAGACAAATCTGGCCCACTGCCTAATACGAGTTAAACATCTACTACTATATCACACAGGGACCTCTACTCACACAGTAATCTAATAAGATATGATTAATTTAGCCATTTTGTCCTCCTATCCGGTTCTGCATGTATGTAAGAAAGGCTGTAGAACTTCAATTTGTAATTTGTTAGTTTATTGGTGGTACAGAAAACGACACCGCAACCCTTCGGCATGATTGTCCCATGTATTTCAATGAGCGCCACGGCAATGATTTCCCCCACGGGCTAAATTCACACCACGTGACGGGGCGTTCCCGGGGGCGTTCCCAGACCAACCGACTGTATCTATTCACGTTTTTTTTCCCCCGACATTGACGTTTTTCTGACGCAATTCTGAGTGAGAAGTGTTCAATCCAAAACCTTCCCCCACCCCCAAATCAAGAGTTTTCCAGTGTACAAAAACACTGCCAAACATGGTCAAACCAAAATTGCTAAACATATACGTTTGTCTTATTGTTGATACATATTTGGAAAATAAGGACAAAATAGTGCTTCAAAGCTCTTTTCTAATGACGCCATTCATCTGTCATGTGTCATTACTGGCAATGTCCAGTCAGTGCATGAAAGAATTTTTCGTTCGAGTCGGATCTTTTCAGTGAAACGGTTCGCAATGATTCGTTCATTAATTGGACGACTCTCGACTGAATCGGATCTCGAGTCAATAATTCTTACTCAAATCCACTCACTCAAAATACTACAATAGCTAAAAAGTACAAATGATGTTACAACGCAAACTATGCTTGACTTATGTTTATGTATTGTCTGTTTTATTACCGTGCAAAATTAATGTAAATGAAATTTGGTTTGTGTAGCCTATTATGCAAATTATATTTAAACAAGATCTAAAAATAAATCATAATCCAAGCAACTATAAACGCCCTTTATAATAAAACGCAATTGTTGAACAGCATTCCCTCCCTGTCTTTTAGAGCTTGCTTTTTATTTTGTATTAAACCGTACAAAATATCAAAGCATAAGGCAATACAGACAGTCACGGAAACAACAAAACAAAGACGAAAAGATACACAAATACAAACGTTTTTAGAGCTTGTGACATATCATTGAAGACGTAAAATGATACAGCGGAACCGTTTTCGAATCAATTGCTCGAAAGAACCGAGTCGCGGAAATGAGCCAGACTTCCCATCGCTGGCCATCCCTCTTATGATTACCCCGAAGCCACGCCCCCTCCCGCCTGTACGTAATTCACGCCTCATGAATAATCCATACCCTTCCCTCACTCGAGCTGCTTGTTGCGTTCACGGCAGAGGCGCGTGAGCGTGGTGGGAAATGCGAGCAAGATGGCGGCGTTGAAGGAGGAGCAGTGCTACGGACTGTCCTGTGGAAGAGTGAGCAATGGCAGCAACATCTCCGTCTATCACGTCAAGCTGACTGACAGCGCGCTGCGAGCATTTGAAGACTACCAGAGCAACAAGGTAAGACGCGCGTCGACCGCAACGCGAGGCTGGATAAACATTGCTAACAGGCTAACAGTGAGTAGCAGGCGACAGTTATTTCCCTGCCTGACAGCAAATCACCCTCTCAGCTGAACAAATTCCCCTTAAAGCGACCAGGAACTTTGGTGTTAGCGAACTGTCATTTGCTGTCGCTGCCTTCCTTATTAAGCACTTCATACACTAACGAAAGCATTAATTAAGCTCACTCTGCAGGTAATTAAAAAAAATAACATAACTTGTTATTATATGTGTGTTGGTCTGGTCTGGTGGCAGACAGCCTAGTTTGGTTTAAAGCAGCTGGGTTCGCAGGTTCTCGAAAAACCTGGAAATGTCTGAGAATTGTAGAATTGCGATTTACAAGTCTGGGAAAGTCATGGAAATTCCAATAATGAATAGACTTTTTTTTTCTAGTTATGTTGGCTCTCAACCAGGGGCCCAGCTTGGACCAAAGGATGACTTAATTGATAAGTTAAAGATCATGAAAAAGGAATCCAACTGTTGAGATCCACTGATTTAAACTTGTTTTTTCTCCCACTTTTTATGAAATGTAACTTAATAAGAAATGTACTTTTTTCCCAGACTGTTTTGTTTATAAAATCAGTCAATTTTTCTAATAAAATAGACATTTGTCACAGTGGAATTAAACCTGTTAATTTCTATTCATTTAAAAAAATATATTTTGTTTTAAATGTGTGTTGGCCATTTCTACAAGCTAACAAGCTTATCTACTCGACAACAACAGAAAGATAAAGTGAAGTTGCCTTGATAACATTTGTTTGTTGAATATAAAATTCCTAGTTTAAACCAGAAACTAGTGCTTAATTTAGTTTGGATAAGATACGAAAGATGCTGCTTTCAGCCTGTGTGCCTGAAGCAATTGTTCCTATTTTAAACCTGTTACTAATTTGTATTCAGCAGTTTTAAGTGTAATTTGAACTCACCAGTTTTAGTTGGACACTGTTTTCCACATTGCAAAGCAGTGAATCTGTGTCTTTGAGACTGTGAGTTGTTAATGCCATTGGAATCTATCATGAATGAGTGTAAGCGCATCTTCGAGTGTCCACTGATCTGAAAAGCAAATATTTTATGGCGTGTTTTGAGTTGAATGACTTGGTTTGGGTTCTCACCTTTTGGTTGAAAGGATCGTGAACTGTTGCAGATACAACAGGTTGGTCAGATGGATGATATTTGTTAATAACAAGTATTGGTTTGTCTGCGCTGTTTCAGATCTGAGGCAGACCCTCGTGTTAAGCGGTTCATGTTTGGTATAATAAAGCAAATGCAACTCGATCCAAAAATTCAACAAAGGTCAAGACTCGCCATATTCAAACTAGTGGAAGTTGTCACACTTCTGATGATGTCAGGAATAAAATTACAACTTTCGGCCTACACCCAAGCCGTTTGTAACAATTGGATGAAATATTGAATGTCAGCTAGGTCTGGTTTAAGTGTTGCTGTCTAATGCAGTGATTAATATGGCGTATTCCTTAGATGTGATATGTGAAACTCAAGTCGACTGGCTACATGTGACACTGTGAGGGAGGCTGAAGCTTTGCTCAAGTATTTTTAGCTTTCCAGCCGAGTGCATAAATGCTACTTGTAAGTTTAGAGTAAGATAGTCTTTGTTTGGTGTATTTGCATATGTACTTTAGCATTTTTAAAGGCATTTTTGTCTAGATCATGGTTATTTTACTTTTTCTAAGTTGTTTTTTATAGCTGTCACACATTTAAATGTATTGGACTCCATTGTTTTCTGAAGAGCTTGTTGATTTGAAATGTTGCAACATTCTTAAAAGTAGTTTAATAAATGAATCTGTTATATCCTTCTTCTCGTGTTTTGAAACATGTTTGTTACTCACGTGACTGGTGTTGTGTTACTTGGTCCTACTTTGACGTTGTATACAAGTACTTACTGGATTACACAAACCTTACAAATCCTGTCTACTAATTGACAGCATAACCTTTTCCAATTGGATGGTTATGAATAATATTTAAAAAAAATATAGCTGCAAGCAGCGATGACGGGCCCAAGACGGTGGCACCGCAACCCCGGTATATAGCTGAAAAAATAAATTAAAAAATCCACAATAAATATATACACGCACAAATAAACAGAACAATAACTTGAATAGGGTGATAGCTTATTAGGGTGGGGTAAAAAAATATTGACTTCTCAATTTTATTTTTTTAATTTTTTTTATCGATTCTCATATTTACGAACCGGTATCGTTTTTTAAATCCCAAGAATCGATTAGGCTTGTCATCCTGTTTTCAGTTGATGAATGAATGAACATTGTAGCGTGCATTCCATCCAATAAATCGCAATAGCTTTGTTATTGAAATGAAACAGTCTCGGATTTCAAATTGCGTCCATTTTCTTAAGAAATTAAAAAACATAAGTTTTTGGCATTGTGGCTTAATCGCTGTGGCTCAGCTCAAGAGAAGCCTTAATAATACCAGTTACAGCGTGAAATATACATGAATGAGCATCTGAAAGTGTGTCAAAAGATAAGTACAACTTATCGAAATCCGTATCATGTCACATGGAATCGCTCAGTGTTTTAACTGTGGAAAAACGTCAGTAAAACAGCTTGTAAACGATGTCATGTAATGCCACATTTACCTAAAAATAACATATCGAGTCACCACCACAAGACTTGTTAGTCAGCTAGAAAAATTAACTCTAGATAGGAGCATTTTGCTAAATATATGCACCATATTACATTAATTATTTTTAATGTTCTTCAATATTAAATGCATGTTTGTGCAATTCTGGCAAGTTTTAATGACCGCCACCAAAGAAATTTAATTTCTTTTTTAAATTATTCAGACAATTATATGAATATTTAATATCAGTGCATTTTTAGTAACCTTATGACCTGATAAGATCCGTAAAAATCGCGTTGTAGTCCAAACAAGACGTTTGTTGTAGATCTTGGAAAGTGGATTCAGTTTTAAAATATCTCCCTTTATAGTGGACTTTGAGCTTTGTCACCTTACAGATTTTTTTTTTTTTTTACAGCAACATTTCCACTTTTTCTAATTTATTTGGTGTGAAGCATAATAGGACCCCTTTAATTCAGGCAAATTCTGATCGCAAGGAACCATTTTTCGCACCTGCCAGTGATGGCATGATTGCATCACGTCTATATCTTTGTGATTGTATGATTGTGTCCATCGCATGAATACTGTATAAGGATGAGAGCTGGGTTCTTGATGTAGAGAAAAACAGGGATAATCAGAATGACTTGGCTCTGCAAATAAATGGGTCAGCCATTTTACTGGGCCGCCCTGGCCTGTTGTTTGAATATCTGTAGGGAAATATGTTGTGGCATCTTGGTTAAGTTTGTTGTAACTGAGTCCAAAGATTTTGTCTTATCCAACAAAGAGTTGTCACACAGAAAGCAAAAATATTTTTCAGAGTCTCTTTAAAATGATAGTTCACAATGTAAGGAAGTCATATGGGTTTGGATGACGAGATGGATACGTTTTAAAATAGTATCCCTCTCGTCTGCTATCTGGCCAAAATATTTGGCCAAATATTTTCAGTTGCCGAAATTCCGGTGCATAGTATAAACAATGATTTGATTTACAAGGTGTTCAGATTAGTCCTTTGCTATGAAATTGACATGATGGTGAAGAGAGAAACAAATTTGACTCGATTTGCCATCAAAAAGGGTGGTAAGAGCCTTGGCACAGAGTCTTAAGAAGTAATTCAGAGGTTGTTCTTGGATCAGGGGTTGGCCGTGTGAATTTCTCCATTACGTTCCTCTGAGTCCACAGCTGTCCTCTGGAGAGTAGCCTGCAGAGATGTCTTTGGTCAGGAGCCTGCAGAAACGGTCATTAAATGGACGTAATGATCTTGAGAATGTTTATCTACTCCTTCATGGATAAACTACATTACATGGTGGGTGTTTTGCCTCTGCATTTGGTGTCCGGTGTTATCGACCAACGTAAAGGCTTGAGTGACACTGGAGGGGAAGCACAAACAGCAGAGTCTTTACTTTCCTCTTAGTTTGCACTTTTCTTGCAGTTCCACAGGTCACTGCCATCGATTTGTTGTCTCAAGTGATAGTCTTATCTAACTGGTTCCAAGCCTGGTGCTTCACAGGTATTTTAAAAGGAATAGGTCACCCCAAAAATTAAATTTACTCACCCATGTTGTATGACTTTATTTTGTGGGAAACCAAGAAACATGTTTATCAAATTATCTGACTTTAAAGCAGTATTGATAGTAGCTTATTTGCTAACTATTTTTTTTTCAGCAGTTTCCAGTAATGAGAATTTCTGACGGATGGCTTTGGGAAATCTAAATCATTTCATTTAATCAGTTTTAGTGAATCACTGCTCGGATAACTCATTTTAATTGGGTTGTCCGAACATGGATTTGCTAATTCATTACTCTGTATTCTCACTGTACTTTCCTCATTGGATCATTGATACTGCTTTTTATTCATATTTTTGGTTCAGTGTTTTGAGTTGTATTAATGTTGATTTAAGTTTGCTCATCCTAATAAAGATTGTTTTTGCTAGTAGTATAATATATTTATAATGTGGCCAAGATTACATTCTAAAAACATGAATTCAGACCAAGCCAGTTTAGTTTTATCCGTTTGTGCTACTTGAGACATTCTTCACAGCATTGATGATCGCAAACCTTGTTGCTCAACGTGCCAGCAGTAGATGGACTGGATTCATGTGGAGGTCAGCCACTGTGTCATGGATATTTAAAGAATGCTGATTTTACATTTTTCAATGCTGAAACTAGGGCCTGGTAAACCAGAATTAGTGCCCAATATGACTCTGAAATGTCAGGCTGTCATGAGACCTCTGCACTTTGTGTTGAGGTTCATTTTGACCTTTTTTTTTAAGGCTGTTAAACCATTTCACTCCTCACTATGATTTAATTTGCATATTGTGGATTTAAGGTCATATTTCAAACCTGATAATAGATCAAACTTACACTGATGCTCATTTAA